GCCTCTCTAATACCAGTCCCATCCTCTCCAAGAAGTCTGTAACAGTTGTTTAAGGTTGCACTGTAACAGTTGTTTAAGGTAGCACAGTAAGAGTTGTTTAAGGTTGCACTGTAACAGTAACAAGCAAGTAAAAGAAACAGTGAGAGATAAAAAGGCATAATTTAAAAAGTGGAAATTAAATCCTAGTGAGGAATTAAACTCTAACAAACTCTAACAAATGAAGTATAAAAATATAATTTATAAGGCCAAAAAAGAATTTGAAGAACAGTTACTTTTGATTTTTTGGCTAATAGCAATTTTTCAAAAGTACATCAGAAAGCAGGATGCCTGCTAAACAACCAATGGGGCCACTGTATGATTGAGATGCCCAAGGAACACTCAAAGGACTATAAGGTCATTGCAGAGAAACTAAATGAATTCTTTGCATCAGTCTTCATGACTGAGGACATGAGGGAGATTCTCAAACCTGAACCATTCTTCTTAGGTGACAAATCAGAGGAACTATTCCAGGACTACATGGCATTCACGAGAGAAAGGAAAGGAAAGGAAAGCTTAAGCTTAAGCTTAAGCTGCAGTCTGTGGTAGCTGACTCCTAGTCAGACAGACAGACCTCGCAGGACACAAAAATGAACCAATACCGGTTAATAAGAAAAAGAAAAACGTTTATTATCAAAACAAAACTACCGTTGCAAGCATAGTTGAGGTGGCTACATGGTAAGAGTCACCAATTGATAGAGAAAATTCCCTGGGTCAGAAAGCTTCATTACAAAAGAGGAGGAAAAAAAACTTTTAAAGAAAGAAAAACATTTTTAACAGCACAGAGCTCAATTCCAGATTCCCAAACCAGAAAACAATAAAACCTGATGGACTAACTAAACTTTGCCCTACTTACATATTGCGAGAAGACTTTTCTTAGAGAGAAAGACGATCTCCCTCCTACCTGAAAGAAACTGCTCTGACTCAGACAAAGGAGAGAAAAGAAAAAAATTCCTTTGTCCCAATTTGGAATCCCTACCTGCATTACTATTGGCTGACCAGATACCTGGTTAGGGACAGGAGACATAATTAACCCCTTAGCCACCAGGCTACTTGCCAGCCCCCCTGGTTATGATGTGTATATTAGAAAAAATAAATCATTTATTTCAATAAAAATACTTGGCACCAGCCAAGCCAGAGACAGTAGAGGAAGGAAGGAGCCTGATGGCCAGGTTGCTGGTGAATTGAGCGCTCCAACCAGGGCTGATTCTGTTTAGAGCACTGGGAATGGGATACGCCCTGCAGCGGGAATATGGAGGAGCAGCAGGGCTCGGCAGAGGTGGAGGGGCAAAGCAGGGAGAGAACCGCAAGATGGGGAGCGCACAAAGGGCCGGTGGGTGGGCAGCAGAGGCAACACGTAACCAACCACTGCCTGGTACTTACTTTCACTCACCAGCTCCTGCAGCTCACAGTGAGTGCCAGCTGGAAATGGGATGGGGCACCAGGGCTGGCCTTACCATGAGGCGAACTGAGGCGGCCACCTCAGGTGCCAGACTGTGTGAGGGGTGCCACGAGGACCCAGAGTGTAGAAAATTGTGTCTGCTGCTGGTGCATGTGTATTCTCTCTGCTCTAGATGCACAGAGATGGTGGAGTACCGTGAGAGGAGTAGAACAGGAAGAAGGCAAAATTCAGACCTTTCAGTTTTGGCCCAAGCGAGGGGACATGGGGGCGTCATTTGAGCTCCCCGCCTCAGGTGCCAAAATGTTATGGGCTGGCCCTTGTGGCACAGGGCCCAGCTGGCTGAGAGCCTCATAGTGGGGGCTACA